ACTCTACTCTACTCTACTCTACTCTACTCTACTCTACTCTACTCTACATTCTTGCCAACTACATACATTTCAGGGGCATCCCAGTGAAGTGTTCTTTGCAAAAATCTACAGCCAAGGTGACTAGGACATAAATGATCATTTAGAGGATTCAGGTTGGGAGTATATACTGTATATAGCTAATTTATCCCTGTGCCTAATTTTCAAGCTATATTCTTTCAGGGATGGGTAGCATATAAATTTAATTAATAAAACTAAAATCTTTATGTTGGGATTCTTGAAAATAATATTTACCCCCCCCCCAAAAAAAACATCCAAATAGGCTACACTACATGCCTCTTGATTAATCCAAATATCTGAACTAAAGAAGAGGCCAGAGCTGTGTAAGAAACACATCTTATAAATCTCTTAAAAATCATCATCTGATATTTCTTGAGTTTCATTCCAGAAAAGCAACAAATTTGGACCCATTATTCCATTTAAAAAAAAAAAACCTATATTGCCAGAACTGATTCCAATTTTTCACAGATGTATTTGAAAAGCTGTGATTTTGGAAGCAGTGTGGATGAAGTGATCCAGCAGATCAAGAAACAAGAGGCTTTCGAGAAGATTCTAGCCTCTCAGGAAGAAAAGGTAAAATCTTTACATATAATATATAAAGTAAGACATGGGCAAATATCCAAGTAAAACCTGATGTTTATGTGTCATCTCGGTGGACTGGAAAAAGTATTGTGACAAACTTGAAAAAGCAATTCAGCCAATAAATATAACATTGTTTTCTAGAAGCTACTTTATTATAAGATCACTTTGAAGTGCTGATTTTCAAGAAATATGGGAGTTCTTCAGCCAAAATATCTGGGAACTTTTACCTGGGGAGAAAGAATGTCTTAGTTTGACACGAAATGTCACAGAAAGCAAAATATACAGTGAATTTAAGGATTTACCCTTAAATAAAACTTCCCAAATAATATTTCAGATAGTATCAACAAGGTAAGAAGAGGTTCTCAGAAAGTTTTACTCATTCATATTGCACAAATATACATCTGTATATTTTTGTTACTGGTATTTGGTTGTGGGCAATTTTGAACTTCCAGTAGAAAAAAAAAATATTTTATGTATGCAGCCTGTGAACAGTTAACTGTAGCTATGATTTTAAGTTTTGGTCTTTCAGGAACTCTCCCTTCAGGAGCAAATGGGAAAATTGCAACCAGATAGTGAGTTGGAAGTCACGCAGATTCAACAGAGGCTCAGTGTGGTGTTAAAGAAAAGAAGAGGCATCAGAGATCTTTCTCAAAGTAGGCAAGAAAAATTGCAGGTAGAACTCCTGCTAGCTCTATTCTACCAGAGTCTAACTGAGGTGAGAATAAGTTGTATATTAGTAAAGCATTATCTTGGAAATAAAAACTTCCATCCTCTTTGCAGACATTAAGAGGTTGCTGTCTCACTCTCCATTTAGATGGCCTGAATGGGTAGGCCCAGAGGTGATATTCAGCAGGTTCTGACTAGTTCTGAGGAACTGGTAGTGGAAAATTTGAGTAGTTCAGAGAACCGGCAAATCCCACCTGTGACTGGAGATTTTACAGGATCCTTCCCCTGCCACACCCGCCAAGCCACGCTCACATAACCAGTAGTAAAAAAAAAATTGAATCCCACCACTGAGTAGACCCCATTTACTGATTGCAGTTGGAACCAGTAATTCTGCCATTAAATGATGCGATGAATGAAACATCACATGTCTGTCCCCGATTTAGATGTCAGTTCCAGCCACAATCATGAAGTAAATCACTTGTGGTGATTAAAATTAAATCTGTGATTTCCTGCTGTTTCCTCATTGACTTTGCTTATTAGAAGCTGGCTGTGAAGGTTGCAAATGGTAACCAGATGACCATGGAATGCTGAGATAGCCTAAATTTGAGAAACGATGATAAATTTTGTTCATTCATGTTTGTCATGACTTTGAATGGTCACTGAATGAGCAGTCAGTAAATGAAAACTGCCTTTAATGGTTAATTGTTGTAGTGTGTATGGGTATAAAAAGGTGCCTGCTGCAGCATAGTAATCAAAATAAGCATTTTACTACGCAAATAATTGAGGCAGAATTACTAAAACATCATTTGGAAGTAATCACTATATCCATTTCCAAAAGAGGTAATTCTCAAGAAGATCAGACACTGTCATCTATAGTGATATCCATGGGATCTTGCTGCTTGCAGCAGAATGACAAAAGCGATATTGTGACATCACACCACCAACTTCAGCCTTTTGGACCATGCCTGCAACATTACAACACTGCTTTTGTCAGTCTAACCCCCACACTTGCCCATCCCACCAAGACACCTGTAGTCCTCTGGCCCTCTTTTGACCCTCTTGTGTTTTCCCACTTCTTTTTGAGTTTTTTATTTTTCTCACGTCTTTTAAAGAAAGAAAATCAAAAGAGCTGTTGACCAGAAAGTCCTCTTGAAAAAGCACCTTTGGGACAATCATGACCTAGATGACTGAGAATCTCCATAGGCATAGACAAAAGAGCTGTTATACATTATTATAATTCTGAAGCTCTGTGCTTTAGAACATGGTTTTCACATTCAATGTTTTCCTATATACATTTAAACATAAACGGAATATAATGCAACATTTAAATGCTACAGCAGCTTTTCCCAACCTAGTGCCCTCTAGATGTACTTTGATTAGACTCTAAACCAAAATTTGTAGCCACTGTGGCTGTATATGGTCTATGAATTACAGCAGCACAACTCAATTCATCTGAAGAGCATAAGACTGGGAAAGCACATATTATATGAGTGCTAGAGAGCTACTATTATATCTCATTCCTCTACATTTGGAAGAAATCCAAGGTATTTCTTTATCAACCAGCTGATAGCCTTCATTTTTTCAGTATTTCTTGGCCTGACTCAGTTCTTCAAGAGAGCCAGCTATTATAGTAAAACCTGAAGGAATGTTGCAACTATTAACTTCCACTTGGCTCTTCATAGTGGATCTCAAGTCTTGCAAAAAAAAGTTACACTGCATTAATTTAAGTCTGATCGTTTTTCATGTAGAGAGTTAAAGGGCAGAGCAGAGCTTTTGTTTGCAGCTTTATTTCAAAACTCACAGCATCATGTTGCCGTCATGTGACATTTCGTGACACATCTTTGAAATGGCAAACTAGCTTACAGATTCAATAATTTTGCAAGAGACACACATCTTTAGCAAAGCTTCAAATTTGAAATTCAGGTCACATTTTGGACTGAATAGAACCTGAATAGAACTGAAAGGAAATCTGATCTTATCAGATTTGCATATACTATTCTTAGCCTTACATGCGGCGATAATCTTGTTGCTCCTTTGGCGACAGGCCGAGGATTGGATTGATGAACGTATGCAGATGATGAAGGTTCCTTCTTTTCAAAACTTCAACAAGTCATGTGACAAAATGAAGCTTCTTCAGAAACATCAAGTCTTTGAGGCTGAGATTCTGGCTCATAAAGATATGATTGCAACTGTTAAAATGGCAAGTATCAAGGGCTTACGCTTTGGGTTTTTTGGATCCTGTGTGAGATTCTTCTGTAGTATGAAGTCAAACCATGGATAGATAAAATGCATACCAAAGTTGGATAAATAATGGTCAAATGTTTTCCAGCTTAGCTTCATTAAGCAGATCAATCTGTATTGCAATTGTTAGAAAATCTCAGTAAGAATCAGGAATATACAGCCTTAAATATATTGATGTCTCACATCAATTAAGGGGCGTGCATAAGTGCACCTTCGTGCCTACCGTCCCTGTCCTATTGTCTCCATTTATTCGTACCGATTTCCTGTATTCTTACTCATATTTATACTTATAGCTATTATCTTGTAAGCAATTGACAAATAAATAAATAAATAAATATCTTGGCTGTCCTCTGACAGGTAGACAATGTTAGATAGGTGTAATTTGTTGAGATAATTCCCCGTTAGGAGAATGAGTGCTTACAGGGAGACGTATAGAGAGTAGTGTTGGAATAATACACACAGAGCACACAGATACACTGTACAGTAAATGTAAGTTTTTACTTCCAGAAAGGTTTAAGCAAAGTCCAAAATAAGCAATCCAAAAGTCATTCACAGGTAAATCAGTCAGTTTTTCAATCCAGGGATAATCCAAATATCAAATTCCAGTGTCAAAAACAGTTCAGTATCAGACTTTCATCAAATCCAGTAATATCAGTCAATTAGGAAAAATGGAGGAACGGCAATACTTTCCAACAGAAGGAAACAGAGGTACACTCATACTCTCTTCTGAGACTCAGACTAAGATAATCCAGGTTTCTGGCTCCATCTTATGGCCGTTTGAAAAACCACCCCTAATTACAGTTTTGCATTTTCTTAAAATTACAGTTTTAAAATGTTTATCCTGGTTTATATATTTCTAACCCAAATAGCTGTTAGGCGATATATTCCTAACATTCTCCCCTTTTGGGTAAGATAATATATACAACCTTACATTCTGAGTCATAATCTTCACAGCTAGCCTTATGCTTTATAGAGCCTTGGGCCTTTGTAAAATGACCTGCTATATTGTTTTCTGACATACAGTATTCTAGCTTAATCATCTTACTTTGCACACATTGTCTCACATTTAAATATCTTAAATCTGTGTGTTTTGTTTTTGTTTTAACAGCAATATTCGAAGCCATCTGTATTGCTGATTGGTTATCTTTGTAAGCAACAATAGGATCTTTTACATCAATTCCCATATCAATTAATAATTGCTCATACAAAACTAAATCTGTACATAATAAAGACAAACATGAGAATTCAGCCTCCATTGTTGACAAACTTAGATGTTTCTGTCTAATAGATCTCCATCCAATAAATGCTTTTCCCAATAATGCAGCAGTGCCCGATGTAGATTTTTGTGTATTTATGTCTGTAGCAAAACTTGCAGCAGCATATGCAGTTAAATTCAGTTCATCTTTAGGCTCCAAATACAATGCATAATGCATTGTTTGTTTTAGATATCTTAACACATGTTTAGCAGCTTGCCAGTGCCTTTGAGTGGGCTCAGCGTTAGATCTCACTAATTGATTAAGACTGTATGCAATATCTGGCCTTTTGACCAATTACTGAGATAAGATAAACTACCAGTCAAAGACTGATAAATATTCTTATCAAAAACAGGACTTTGAACATCACTATGGCTAAACTCCTGGCTCATTGGTGTTTTAGCCGGCTTACAAAGTTCCATTTTATAACTTTTTAGTAATTGGTTAATTTTTTCTGCCTGTGAGATCTTGTATCCTCCCCTAGTTCTATCTATCTTTAAACCAAGATATTGTTTGATTTCTCCTAACTGTTTTATCTTAAATTTATTTTCCAATAGTGAAATTATCTCAGTAGCTTCTTGTTCAGTTTTGCTGATTAATGCTATGTCATCAGTAAATAATAGCAATAATGAAATTATACCATTAATTTCTCTTTTAAACAAACATGGATCAGCCATGCCAGCTACAAAACCTATTTTAGTTAATTTTTTAACTATACATTGGTTCCACTCATATCCTGATTGCTTCAAACCATAAAGACTCTTTTTCAATTTCCAGCAATCATTATTATCAGTATTATCATTTTTGAGACCTAAAGGTTTCTTTAAATATATAGTGTGTTGCAACAGTGCATGCAGATATGCCATCTCTACATCCAAATGATTTACAATGTATTTCTCCTTAGCTGCCCACACTAATGCTGCCCTTACTGTAGTAGCCTTCAGACTAGATGCAACCACCTCATCGTAGTCATTTGCTGTCTGATTAAACCCTTGTGCTACTAACCTGGCTTTATGGGTAACAGTCCCATCTACACCTGTCTTTAGCTTATATATCCATTTTCATCCTATGGCATGTTTACCTGGTGGTAACTTAACATTTTCGTATACCTCCAGTCTTTTTAATGATTCCAGTTCCTTATCCATTGCTTTCTGCCAAGCAGCCTAATCCTTAGCAGGATACAGTTTTAGTTCACTATAGTTACTTGGAACTGTATTCACTTGGCATACAACACTAGCCTGATATCTATCAGGTGGTCATGTAACTCGGGTTGAACATCTTGGTAATACAGGGCTTACTGGTGGACTTTCCTGTGCCACCTGCTCCTGTTCTTCTATTTCTTCCTGTGCCTGTTCTACTACTTCCTCCTGTTCTTCCTCTTTAATGGCTATTTGGGGTTTACTGATTTTATCTTTAGGGACTATTTGGGTGTCAATAATAATATCATTGCTGGATTCCTGTTCCAGTTTATCCCACCCAACGTGCTCAAGAAATTTTGCATTAGCACTGCAATAAACATGAGCTATGCCTTGATCCCAAAATCTAAATGATCTACGGTTGGCCACATAACCCACAAAAAATAATTTCTTAGCTCTATGTTGCCCTTTCAGTCTTACTTGTGAGGGAATATGCACCCATGCTGGAGCTCCAAATGTGTGTAGGTAACCTAAATTTGGTTTTCTGCCATGCCAACGAGTGAATGGCAATTCTCCAGTTGTTGTATTTACTACACTGTTTAAAACATGGTTACTACACATTATGGCTTCACCCCACAGTGTTTCAGGTAAACCTGAGTCAGATAACATAGTGCAAGCCATGGCTTGTAATGTTTGCCCTCTTCGTTCTATAAACAAGTTATGTTGTGGTCTGTAAGGTGCAGAACTTTTATGCTCAACACCAGCCAATTTCAGCATAGTTTGGAATCTTTTGTTAACAAACTCAGTCCCATTATCAGTTACTAAAGTAATTACTTTACTTTTCATTTTTATCTCAGCAAACCTTAGCCAGTTAAAGAAAGGTTGGAATGTTTCTGTTTTGTTTTTCATAAGATAGCAGAAACCATATCGTGAGTAATGGTCCATAATACTCAAAATATAACAGGCACCTCCTAAACTTGGTTTCTTAGGACCAATTATGTCAGCAAACACAACCTCTAAAGGTTCTTTGGTCTTAAACCCATTTAGTCTGTTTGCTGGAATAACCTTACTCTTATCTTGGCTACATGCATTACAGTTTAAATACTTGCTACAGGGTTTCAATTTTACTCCCTCTGACAATTCTCTGACAGTTTGTTTGAGCATTTTGAAATTAATGTGCCCTAGACATCTATGCAGTAAATGTATACATTCATCATGTGGCTTAACATTGTTGTAAACTGAGTTAGCCATCTTCAACTGATCATCATGTGTTACATATAAATCATTCTCTAATGTAGCAGTATCACTTTTACCCTCTTTCTCTATTATACAGTTATCTCCCCTAAAGGTTACTACATAACCAATATTAACTAAAGCCCTTACTGATAGCAAATTAAATTTTAGTTTAAGTACATATAATATAGTTAAATGTTCATTTATACAAGGACAATATGCAGTACCTTCACCTGATGCATTCATCTTCCATCCATTTGCCAATGATACATGTTGTTTACTTGTGGACATCTTTACAAACCTTTTTCTATCTTTAGTAATGCATTGTGATGCTCCACTATCAACAACCCACAAATCATAGTTTACAGTTGAATTGCTAGACATAGCTAAACTAACATTCTTCTTGGCCTTCTGGTGTTTGACAGTATTCTGTTGTTTTCCCTTCTTACAGAATTTAGTTATATGTCCCCTAGCCCCACAAGAAAAACATTTCCTAACAGTATAGGCAGTTGAAGACAAATTCTCTTCTTGTGGTTGTTCCTTCCTCAGTTGGTCCCTATCCAGCCCTCTTCTTGCTTCTTCTAACAATCTTCCAGTTATGTCAGTCAATGTCAGTTTATCCCTGGGCAGGACTTCCAGTGAAGATACATAATCATCATAACTTTCATCCAATGAGGAAAGAATGATGTAAACTTGATGCAGCTCTGAAAATATCAGTTCTTTTTCATGTAGCTCTTGAAAAGTTCTTTTCATGAAGTTTAAATGAGCTAACATATCTCCACCTTTTAGAAGATGTGCTCTAAACAGTTTACGTGTAAGATGTATGTGTGCACCTACACTGTCACGAACATAAATCCTCTTCAAATTCTCCCAACACCTAGCAGCAGACTCTTCTCCACGAATATGGACTAGCTGCTGGTCACTCAGTGTTAGTCCAATTATACAAAGAGCTCGTTCATTGTTCTGTTTAAAGTCAGCAAGCTACTTGGCATCATCCTCATTAGCTGGATCCCAAGCATTTACATCCGGTGGGTCTTGAACTACATTCCATAAACTTTCTTTACGCAGAAGTAGACTGCACTTCATAGACCAGGAAACATAGTTTGCTCCATCCAACTGGGTTATCAGTTATCGTTGAAGTGACTTGTGCCATCTTTACCAGGATAATAACCCACAATTAAACAGTAAACAGCTGTCTGTATACAGTACTGTGCATTCACACCAACTCTCAGGTATCTGAGCCTGGTATGGTCTGGGCCCATAACCAGTGTTGAGGTAATTCCCCGTTAGGAGAATGAGTACATACAGGGAGACGTATAGAGAGTAGTGTTGGAATAATACACACAGAGCACACAGATACACTGTACAGTAAATGTAAGTTTTTACTTCCAGAAAGGTTTAAGCAAAGTCCAAAATAAGCAATCCAAAGTCATTCACAGGTAAATCAGTCAGTTTTTCAATCCAGGGATAATCCAAATATCAAATTCCAGTGTCAAAAACAGTTCAGTATCAGACTTTCATCAAATCCAGTAGTATCAGTCAATTAGGAAAAATGGAGGAACGGCAATACTTTCCAACAGAAGGAAACAGAGATACACTCACACTCTCTTCTGAGACTCGGACCACCCAGGTTTCTGTCTCCATCTTATGGCCGTTTGAAAAACCACACCTAATTACAGTTTTGCATTTTCTTAAAGTTACAGTTTTAAAATGTTTATCCTGGTTTATATATTTCTAACCCAAATAGCTGTTAGGTGATATATTCCTAACATAATCTTTCTACTTCTCTCTCATATCTTGAATAATTTACATGTCAAATCAGTCAATCCCTCTATCTCTGCTGGATAGAAATTTGGATCAGATACCCTGGAACCAAACTTAAGTATACTATATATTTAACTTTTGCCACTGGCTTTCCAATCTTTTAGAACTGAGTTGTGTTAGAAATCGCATAGAAATATTGCAATCTTCTTATTAAGAATTCTCTCTTAACTATTTAAAGAGAGGAGAAGCTCTACAACATCATAATATTCCTCAAACGGAAGAGATCTGCCAAAAGATGTACTTGCTCCAAGAACAGTGGGAAATGTTGAATCAGGCTGTTGCTGCTCATGGAAAAATGCTTGAGGAGAGCAGGGATTTTCTTGAATTTCTACAAAAAGTCGATCACGCAGAGGCTTGGATCAGAGACAAGGTTAGTGAATTTGCAGACCACCGTTTCAGTTTAGAAAACACTTTTATAGCTGAAACATTTGTAAAATGGTAATTGTAGCAGAAAATATACGCTTTTGTTTTATTTTGAAAAATGCCTGAAGTGTTTTTCTGTTTTCAAATATGTGGATATAAATCAAGCCTGTATTACACAGAGGCTTCTGCTGTGTTCTATATGCATGGCTCCCCTTCTAGAATATTAGTTTGTTATGTACTAGAAATTTATCCTTAAAAGCAATATTCAAAAGAGTATAAAATGTACATCTTCCATCCATTAACTTGATGATCATCAAGGGGAAGGGGATTTCTTGTTCCAAAATGTATTAAGACTCTTCTGTTAAGCAATTGCCATTCATTTTATACGGGTATTTTAGAAAGTTTATTTTGCATAAGGAAAACTGTTACATAATTGTATGGACTGTACGTGGGAATTTATTGGACTCTAGTGTTACATAATTGGGAACAAATATTTAATATTTCTAAAAATATTTAATACTCCCCCAAAGTCAAGAGAAACCTTAATGCTATCATGAAACTTTTTTCTTCATCAAGCACATTTTCCAGTCATTTTGGCTGTCACTCCAAAAATAAACTTGAATTCCAGAAAAAAAAAAACTAGATATACATTGAAGATTTAGTTGTGTTTTAATGGACTCCTAATGGTATTGGTGTTGCTCACCAGGTAGTTATGGTTAATATTGGTGATGTGGGGAATGACTACGAACACTGCCTTCAGCTTTTGAAAAAATTAAATGAATTCCGAGGAATGTCAGAGGTAAGTCATATTATTTCTGCTAGCTAAATAATATATAGCAGGTCAGGACAATGGTAGTTCAGAATAATTTGTCTTGGTGCAAATAATTCTCTCTCTCTCTCTCTCTCTCTCTCTCTCTCTCTCTCTCTCTCTCTCCCTCCCTCCCTCCCTCCCTCCCTCTCTCTCTCTCTCTCTGTCTCTCTCTGTCTCTCTGTCTCTCTCTCTCTCTCTCATATTTACATATACATATACATATACATACAAACACACCCACCCCAATAACTTGCCACAATTATTAAGTGAATCACAACAGTTATTAAGTTAGTAACATGGTTGTTAACTGAATCTGGCTTTCCCATTGACTTTGCTTGTCAGAAGGTCACAAAAGGTGATCACATGACCTTGGAACACTGCAACTATCATAAATATGAGTCAGTTGCCAAGTGTCTGAATTTTGATCATGTGACCATAGGGATGTTGCAACAGTTGTAAGTGTGAAAAATGATCACAAATTAGTCACTTTTTCAGAGCTGTTGTAACTTTGAACAGTCACTAAATGCACTGTTGTAAGTCAAGGACTACAGTCAACAACCGAATGAAGTGGAGTTATAGGACTCACACTATCAAAATGCAAACTTTTGTAAGTTTTATAACTATTGTAAGTTGAGGATTACCTGTATTTTATATACTGAAGAAAACTCCTTCACATTTTTGTTTCCATTTCTACCCTTTTTCATGGCAAAGAATTATAGAAAAAAAATGGTGACAGACAGATAAAAATACCAATTTTAACGATGTTCCTTCCAGGAAGCCAGAGAGATAGTAAATGTTGAGAAATGCAGATACCCAATAGGAACTCGCAGTTAGGTTTAACATACATATACAGATGTAAGACTTGGCATCCTAGAAGGAAGGAGAGGACAGGAGAGAGAATTAAAATTTTGCTTTATTATCTATTTTCTCTTTGACTTTTGTCTTATAAGGGGGTAACAGTGGATGATGCACACATCAAAGACATCAATGCTCTCGCTCTGAGATTGAAGAGGCAGAATGATGAAGAGATGAAAATAATATGCCAACGCCAAGAACAGCTGAATGAAAAGTGTGTGGATAAATTCTATTGATCCAAACAAAGAGGAAAATGTTCAATCAAATCTGACTAGAGCCAGACAGAAACACTGGCATTCCTGTGTTGATGTTTACATGGGAAAGGCTGCTCTTCTTTCACATATCATCTTCAAGTATAATTGAATTGTCATAATGGGTGTGTAAGAGTAAAGAGGGAGTGACCTTGAACTATTTGAATTTCATTCCCAACAGGTGTTAAGAATTTTTATCATAAATGTCATTGAAATCAAAATTGCTAAGGCAACGGCAATCTTCTAGTTAGGAATAAATGTCAATGTAACCTCAAGCTACTCAACCCACATAAAGTATAATTGTGAAATAAGAATTATTTCAATTAACTTGGTACTGTCTGATTAAAATCCCTCTGGTGACAGAAAACACTAATCAGCAGAATGGAAGTCAGTACTGTTGGGGGAGCAGCCCTTTTATTGCTATTCAATCAGATCCAGTCTTGTACATTAATCACTTTTTGATGTCATTTTGTTTGTGCTTGCTTAAACATATAGATAAATAAAGTTGAGCTGGCGGGAATCATAAACTCAAATATTTTTATTGCTATAATCCCATATTCGATATATTTGATCTTCTCAAATAAAATTAAATGTTTCAATGACAGGTGGAACAGTTTCCATGGTGATCTTAAAACATATAAGAAGAAGTTGGAAGAAGCTCTGCAGATCCATGCCTTGATTAGAGAAATTAATGACATCACAGAGAGAATTGGTGAAAAGGTGATTTATTTTATTATTTTTAAAGGTGCTTTTTTATCTTGACAAGTTCTCCAGAGTGGATAACGTTTCAGAAAACCAAATAGTAATAAAATGTCAAGATGGAATTTCGACTGTCAGAGGTATAAAGAAAAACGTTCCTGATCATTATCATACACAAACAGTACTTGCTCCCTTGTCTCTTCTTTATTTTAAGAGCTTTTTGTGAAATACTCTGAAAATGCTAATACAATTAGGCATATTAATTTTTTTCATATGTATCAGCTTTATTAAACTTGATAATTTCAGTGTTTTTAGTCCTATAAAAAGAAAATTACTCAAATGGTTTTTAATATTTTACTATTAGAATCAGTTTCATTCAGCAGTTCCTGAATAATTAATAAATAAAAACAAATGTGCATGAAAAGATTTAATTTTGATAGAAAATGGATTTAGCTTGAGGGTGGAGATGGATTGATTTTACAGGTTAGCAAAATTCTAATTTTATTTAAATCAGGGTAGATAACCGAGAGCCCTCAAAGACAAAATTATTACAGTTGTTGGAACAGTCAGCCAAATGTTTAGACTGGGTTTGAGATTTTTTTTATCAATCTATCAAGTGATTACTCAGTGCCTAAAAATTTGTTCTATAGGTATCTCATAAATTCTTCTACTAGTATTATATAAAGATATAAAGTTTAAGTTAGAAATATCAAAAGGATGAAAATATTCAAAGATGCAATTTTGTAAAGAATCAAGTTATCATCTTTTCTTCATTTTTTGTGTTCCTCAGAGTTCACTGATACAAGCATTGGATTATGGAAAAGATATTGAAAGTGTAGAAAATCTACTTCGGAAGCATGATGAAATGGAGAGAGAAATTGGCATCATTCAATCCAAGATGGAGGTAAAACATAATTAATACTTGAAATATAATTGCAAATAATAGGAACATAAATCATGAAAATTTGCCCTGTATACAAACTACTTAGAATTGTGTAGTAATCTCATTTCTATCATCTCAATTCTAAAACTTGGTTCTTTTCAGAGGTTTGATTTATTCTGCAGTTTTGGGTAGGGAATCAGAGTAGTATGAATACAAGCATACCGTATTTAGATTCTGTGTTTGAAACCTTAAGAATAGAATAGTGGAATGATGATTTTCTTTAAATAACGAAATAATAATGTTAATAATTGCATTTTATTATAGTTATTCACTTTCAGGGATGAGTGTGACTACTTTTCTTTTTGGATGACCAGAATATTTCTATACTGATTCCAAAGAATGGCAGTTTTATTGTGCTTGTATTTTCAACATAGATGTGTAGTTAACTTGGTAAATCAAGGTGTCCCCATCATTCAAACTTTACTGTCAGGTCCCCCTTTGGGACACTGTCATTCTGATGGAGGGGAGAGGAGGCTATCGGGGTTGCTTCCATGCATGCTTTTGCTGTAACCACATGAGATTTAGGGAAGGGGACTATCTATCTCAGAGAATTGATGGACTTCCTCCCAACTGGTTCTAGTCTGACACCAAGGTTCCTGCATTCTGAGGATGAACTGCTATAAAGCTAACACCTCAGAGTTCTCAAAACACCTTTTCGGACCTGTATTGGCTACTGGTAGACTGGTGGGGTTTTGAAAGGGGAAGAATAGATTAACGCTTTGCATGAGAACTTCAGATTCTTCCTGACTTCTCTGCAATCACTTTCTCTCAGTAAAAGTTCCTTTTGATAACTACTTGCTTCAAGAGTCATGCTTTCCTGAGGGGATAGCTGAGGCAAGTCCTTACATTTACATTTCACTTTGTGGAGTGGCTTAAAGATATTTACTTATCCTCGTGTTTATATTTATTCCAAAACTGGGTCCCATCAGAGAACTCTAAATGTTACTGGGTGACCCATGCTGTCCTGCTGCACCAAAACCAGTTGCAGAACTAATAATAGATTTCTTAAGAATAGCAAGAACATCACAGTCAAGCAGGAAGAACCTTGTTATCTGACCCTAAAGCTCCAAGGCAAAGCCAGCCAACCATGGGAAGCTAGTGATTTGCTGGGAAAGCATGTCACCTAAGCCTTATTCTGTCACAGTAATAGGCTATGGTGAGTAGTATTGCCCACACAGTTTTAATAAAGGACAAATTAAAGGAACTTATTGATGACTTCCTTTCCCATACCATGAAGTGCTACCTACCAGTAGAAAAACAACAACCACCAATTGTTCTTTTTAACTTGCGGTAGGGCAGGGCTAGGCAAGTGTAGGCAGATGACTTGAACAGCAAGTTTAATTTCCTGTCAAGTTGTCTAATCAGATGTTCCACGCCTGTAACCTGTCAACCAAAATTTATCTGTATAGGATACATCCTAGTCCATAAAATTGTTTTTCTTTTAATGGTACAAAATAGGGGAAGGATAATCCGATGTCCTTTTAATCCCTTTTAATCTGTTCTGCTGCTGTGATGTACATAAGAATTAAATCAAGAATAATGAAAGGCTATTCCCTAAAAGAGATAGTCCATGCTACTTATCCTTTATATACTTTTCATTAACTCTGGAAATGATTTTTTGATCTATAGATTGAGATATGTAGATTGTCGATATTAAGTTCCTCTGCCCTTTTGGTCTTCTATCATATCTTTCTTCTACTTTCTCCCTACCTTTGCCTGCTTTTTGTCCTGATTGTTTTTTTAATAAGTGGCTGGTGTTTAATAAATAAATAAATATCAAATTATATGTTTGTCCAGGTGAACTGAGTGGTGTATGTGCTTACTCTGATTTGGTTACAAGGATTGTCTGGAAATGTGGCTGGGCCCAAACTAAATTGATTCTCTCTTTTTTCCTTCCAAAAAGCCTTTTGAACTGCCATGAAAAGAAAAGCCTGACACATAATAGATTTGTAAATTAGGAACAGCTTCAGAAGGAAAAGCATGTTAACTAGACAGAATGCCTGTTTTTCTTTCAGTCATTGGAACCAGAACTATGTCAAATTAAAAGGAATCCATCTACTATAAGTAGCAAACTGACTATAAAACAGAAGGAAATGAGTAATCACTGGTTACAATTGCAGAATCAGACCAAACAAAGGTAAATTCAAGGTGCAATTCTAGGTGCTGGCTATTACCTTTAAAATGCTAAATGGCATAAGATCAGGTGACCTGCGGGACTATCTCTGTCCGAGGCCATCTGTATGCCCCTTTAGAGCAGATAAAATAGGCATCAGTGGTAGGATTCAATTTTTTTTACTACCGGTTCTGTGGGCGTGGCTTGGTGGGCATGGCAAGGGAAGGATACTGTAAAATCTCCAGTCAGAAGTGGTATTTGTCAGTTCTCTGAACTACTCAAAATTTCCGCTACCGATTCTCCAGAACTGGTCAGAACCTGCTGAATACCACCTCTGATAGGCATGTTCCATGTCCCTTCCTTTAAACCAGGGATGTCAAACTCATGGCGGTGTCATGTGACATATCAGGACTTTTCCCCTTTGCTAACTGGGTGGGGGTTGGGGCGGGGCCAGCAAATGACGCATCCGGGCTGTGGGCCATGAGTTTGACACCCCTGCTTTAGAATATTGCCATCTTATGGGTCCATGGAAAACTGCCTTTTCTATTGCAACCCCTGCCCTATGGACTCAGATTTTGTTTATTAGGCCTATGTCAGACCTATGTGGCTCTTCCTCCTGTCTCCTCTGCATACATTACATCTTCAATCTGTAGATTTCATACAGTACTGTGCTTTAGTTTGTCCTGCTTTGTGCCATTATTTAGTGGAAATTCAAACTAGTCTTCCAACATTTAGACTCCAAAGACACATTCTACAATATATGAATAGGTGTGTTTAATCACAAAGCTGAGAGGAACCTTATAAGTCAATTAGTCCAAGTTCCTGCTATGTGCAGGATCTAGATGACATTTCAATAGGTGACCCATTCTTTACCTTAAGAACCATCTGGTGCCAGAGAACTTCATGTGGCAACCTTACAGCCACTATGTGATTAATAAATGCTCTTAGAACGTATTATCCATCAGATGATTACTAAAAGCTATTGCTGGTTGTGAAAAGGACTGAAATCTTTGTGAAGAAGCAAAGTTCCTCCATCTTCTGTAAATGTTAGGTTCATGCAAATGAATAGAACTAGGAGTCCTGGCATTGATATTCCATCCTACAAAGGTACATTTCTTCTCCTTTGGGGCCTGATATGGTAGATTTCAAAGTTTTACTTATTTTGGATCACTTAGTTTGGTTCCTGTTTGGGGGATGAAAGTGAGTAAATGGATTGGAGGATCGAGGAAGGAAGTGAATTTAAGGTATCTAACCAAATTATGGCAGCAGAATCCAATTGGCATGTACAATAATAGGGTTCTTCTCTCTAGGGACTTTAATGTTATTAAGGAAAAAAATATGATTTGAAAACTAGAAATGTGAAAAGCCCAGCATGTCTAAGTATGTATTCTTACATCCCCCTTGAAATAAGTAAACAACAATTTACAATCTTTCTGTTTTCATTAAACTCAATTTTATTCCAGTAGATTATATTTAGTAAGAGTTTCGATTACGTTTATGTATTTTTGTGTACAACAGGGGTGAGAAGCTGTTAGCTTCTTACCAGTTACAGAAGTTTAACTCTGAACTGAAGGAATTACTAGATTGGATTCACGAAATCAAAAGTCAAATTGAAATTGGGGATCTTCCTAAAAGTCTAGCTGAAGCAGAAATCCTGATAGAGGAGCATCAAGAAATAAAGGCAAGTATGAATTATATCAGTATAGCATTGCCATCTTTATAATAGTTTCCATTACTTTAAAAAGTACTTAACAAGCAATTTCAATATTTGAAAACTGAAATAGCATTGATTGTAGCAATATGCACACCAAGTAATTACATTCCCATTACTTATTTCTGTGCTTACTTTTTGAGCTGGGGCATCCTTTTCTAAGCTCAGGTGTGGTCTATTGTGTCTGTAAATCTGAGTTTTATTTGGACTGTGCTAAAATTCATAGCAGTGTAAACATGAGCACATTTTTTGCAAATCTAGAACTTTTAAATTTGGAAGTACTTATCGGTTTGAATAATTTTGCCTCTGAGGAGGCCTACAAATGCCCAAATGCTCAAGCAATAGTTGAAAAAAAGAAGCTAATAAATATCCTGCTCTGGGTGGATGCTATTATGCCTATTGAGGTCATGTTATAGAGGGGCTCCCTTGGAATATGCACATTTGGAGGTATCATGCTAAGTTTGTCTTTGTACTACAAACATTCTTCTGAACCATAGAAAAGGAAAGGAGAAAAGAAGGAATATTAGGGTTTGATAGTATTAACACATGCTTTGAGACATTGAAAGCACCGTGAACAACATACAAAGTATCAGGAGGAAAAGAGGGAGAAAAGAATAATTCTAGATCCTGAAGGTTTTCTGTTTCCACTCAGAAATGAGATAAGGTACAGAAGTTCATTTGTTCAGAGATCTAAAGATGAGGGGGAAAGTTTTTCTTTTGAAGAAAAGATGGGGGCAGGAGGACAATCCACACCATAAAAATGGCCAGTGAGTCATATAATTTACTGGCAGACTAAAAAAGACATCTGGAATGCTTCATCGAATCCAGAGCTTAATTTATAGGTTGTTACAGTAAGGGTAAATGGAGTGTATTCTAGAGATGATGGAACAATTTATAATGGCTTGTTTGTGAGTTATGCATCCAGCTTGGGACAGCTGTCACTAAGATGCTTCTGTAAAATAGCAGAGTCTGGTTTTTGTCTTTTTTGTTTTGTGGGGATTCAGTGCTAGGAAAAGGGATAATGGGTCAAATAATTTTTAAAAATCACTTATTTCACTTCTTTCATAAATTTGAAATGATGGAAGGTATCAATTAAATAAACACATTTGATGTTATTAATATTAACATCAAGAATACAATCGTAAAAGTGCTTCGCATAATGAAATCTGCTGTAAACACAAAAAGAAAATTGAAATTTTGGGTATTATGGGTAACACTGTTTGTCTTAATAATGTGCAATTAAAAACATTTCATTTATAGCTAAATGTTTCCAGATTTAATTAGGGTAAAAACTAGTCATTACTAAGGTGAAAGAGAGGGTAACTTATTCTTTATATTTTTTTCAAATTCTGAAACCTTCCTTCTTTCCAAAACCAAGTTCTGCTTACTACTTTTGTTTTCCAAAATACTCAAATGTTGATTCTGCTTAAACATTGACATCTTTTAGGCAGAGATTGAAGCTCGAGGAGAAAGATTTGGTGCTCTTAGCAACTACGGTCAGAAACTTGGCAATTCTGGCCATCATGCGGCTCCTGAGATCCATCATTCCCTCATCAAGTTACAACAAGCATTAAATGAAATGATCCAGGCCTATGAAGAACAAAGTCTAAAATTACATCAAGCCAGAGACTTACAGGTAGATTAAAAATAAAAAATAATTCTGAAGTAACCCACAAGAATAAGAGTTAATACTGTCAGGAAGGTTTTGATTGGTAGTTACGGCATGGCAAATGAAAGCAAACAGTGGTTGCTGGTGATTATTCTTTAAACATAGAATCCTCTTCAAAGAGAAGAGGTATATTTATATATTTTTTTCTTTTCAAAAAATTTTGAATCCTAAAACAGATCTTTAGCTCAGCCTCAACCTTTTTTGGATAATTTTGATTTAGTGGGATATTTCTCCTTAAATGCATCATGGCATGATTTCAATTTTAAATAGCAGGAACTGCAACTTTTGACCTACTCTCCCTATATGGGAAAACCTTGAAAGAATAGGTATGTTTAAGGATCCCATTTTCTTTGAAATGGTGTACGAATCAGGGGGACAACTGCAATATACTGAAGGACAGCATAACACATAGAGAAATTCTTGATTCAGTTCCTGATGTTCCTAGTTAAAAGTTAAAATGTTGGGTTATGTACCTGAACTCATCTTTTAGACTAGAGAGAACTGATTTAATCACCATTTTCTGTGACTATCATATCCGCCCTGTTTAAATATGGATAATTACAAGATGACTGTAGATTGAATGAGTAGAACAATGATAGCTACCAGGCTTGGTGGATAAAATCTATTTACAATATTTATGCTATCTTGCAAACTCAAACAAGGCAAAACTGCCCAAAGGAATAGCTTATCTACCACTATTCTGAAGCTACCTATTTCTCCTTTGTTAATACTGCAGAGGCTCAATGGACAGCTTTTATATACTGTACTATAGTGTTCATATATGGGTCCAATTCTAAGCACTCTTATTTCCAACTAAACCCCATTGAACTTTGAAATGTAATTATATTGAAGTGACAAAGTTTTTTTCTCTCTCCTAAACAGATTTTTGTTGGTTATGTGGAAGAGAGTGAAAGTTGGCTAAGTAGCAAAGAGGCCTTCCTAACAAACAAAGACTTGGGCGTAAGTGAAATAGACTATTCACATTCAAAAGTGGAAAATATAGGCATAGAATAAAAGTGCAGAACAAAACATTTTGCAATATTTACTTTCAGGTTTTTTTTCTACCACAGTCCCACTGAATTTCTCATTCTATCATGTACCTTTTGGCAAGATTATTGGATTTTCTGGTCTGTGACATCATTATTCAACCCAGTTTTGCTGCCATATAATCAAGAGAAGCAGAAACTTACGCAGAATGAGAATTTTTTTGGGGGAAAAACATAGTGTTCTAAAATGTATTTGTTTATTTATTTAGTTATTAAATTTATATTCTACTCATCTTACCAATAAAATGACTCTGGGCAGCTTATTATATCTGAGCCCTATAGACCTAAAAGTAAACAAAGGTTGCTTGGGAGGAACCTAATTTTCTTTGACTTCATATTAAAAAGGAAGTTTCATAGAAATAATGTGAAGCCTGTTTAGGATAGTGATCCCCAAAATCCTTCTCTTGTTCTGTGCCTGCATGATTTGTACACATTTAGGCAGTTTATAAGCATAACTCTTTATAAACACAACTCTTCTAATGGAAAGTAGGTTGGAATAATCATATGACATAAGATCAGCTCTTCCCAACCTGGGCATTTTTCAATTGCCAAACAACTCTCAGAATTCTTATCAATTGCCATTCCATTTTACATTAACTTGTTCTAATTGATGCAGGATTCAATATCCAGTGTGGAAAGTCTGCAGCAAAAGCACATGCAATTTGAAAAAGACTTGAACACCCATCTGATGAAGATTGATAATATAGCTATCTTTGCCCAAAAGCTGAAGGACAGTCAGCATTATGATTCAGAGAATATAATGACTAAATGCCAGGCTGTGTTGAGAAGGTACCATTCAATTTTTTTCTCCCGTTTCATCTCTATATCCTATATGGGTTTAACCACCTCAACTCTCTTCTCTCTCTTAATGGGTTTTTTTATTACTTGCCACTCATTAACTACATTATTGTTTCCTTCAAATAAAACCCTAGGAGATACAGTGATTATTCACCCATCTCATCACTCTGAAAAGAAGATAAGATTTTTACAATGTGCCCATTTGAGGAACAACTCTGCTGTGACATTTGCTGCTTCATTTCCTCATGCTGTGCTTTTTGTGTTTTCCTTCTACTGCCCTGGCAAAGATTCAGCTTGCATTTATAATCACTTCTGAAATGCAGTTTTACAAGCTGCATTGACTTATATCACCAGTATTATTTATTCTTCCTAGAAAGGAAAAGCTTCTGGAAATTGCTTTAATGCGGAGACGTCTGCTGGAGGAGTCCTGGCTATTACAAAAATTTCTGCACAATTCTTTTGAGGTATCATATGTTCATTTAATTTCCTGAAGAAGGTCAGTCCAGGAGTCTGGTGAGGACTTGGATGATGGTCTGCATCCGTTACAGAGATGAGGCCAGGGCCATCTGGGAGTTATGTGCTGACTCTGGAGCAACCAGAATCTGACAGCAGCAAGGCAGAGGAATAAGGGGAGTCTGTTCCCAGTGCACATGTGCACAGAGCTGCAGAAGGCAAGAACAGTTAAGACAAAATGGTGACCTGGGAATAAGGCTTGGAGGTGATTGCCCCTCCCATAAGATATAAAGGAGCAAAGGGACAGGAACCTTTGCAGGAAGCAATGTTGTTCGCTCTGTTCAGATTAAACCTTAAAGTTCTGTGTGGACTTTGTACTCCATATGGCTTTTTACAGTTAATTTGGCACTTTAGTTGTTGGCAGCAATTCAAAGGAGATAAAGGTGAGTGCTTATCTCGAGAGACTGTTTGGGATGCATTACAGGCTGGGAATGAACATAATCCTCAGTGTTGAAACAAAAAGCGAGTTGTTTGGACTAAGTGTGTGCTTAATTACAGTCTTAATTATGACACACATACACAAACACACACACATGTATTTCTATACCACAGGGGTGTCAAACTCAAGGCCCACGGGCCATGTCCTGCGGGGTGTTTAAATCTGGTCTATCCTGGAAACAGTGAAGGACCGGTCTGCAGTGCATCTGCCAGCTCTGTTTTCTCTGGCAGAGTGCTTGGGCAACCCTGACATGAGTGTTGTCAAGCTGACCACACCCAGCCTGGCCATGCCCCCTTTCCCCCAAGGTCAAACCTGATGCAGTCCTCAATGAAATCAAGTTTGACACTCTTACTATACCCAAAAAAAAAAGAAATTAAAAACTTCCAAACCCAGCAAATACTATAACCCTAGCCAATATAGCCAATAAGAACCAAATGTAGTACAGTACTACAGTCCAAAGAATATAGGGGGAGACTAAATTGCTTAATAGATTTGTTGCTATTCTTTCAGGGTTTCAAATGGGAGACAGTTCCTGGAACTATTGGTAATTTAATCAGTGGACTGATAACTGTGTTTTTCTATCCAAAGATAGCTACCTGGATGAGTGAAAAAAACAGTATTGCCCTTGATGAAAGCTGGAGAGATCCCAGCAATCTTCAAGCTAAACTACAAAAGCATCAGACTTTCCAGGCAGAGATTGTGGCTAACAAAAATCACCTCAACAGAATCAAAACAGTAAGTAAATACCATGCTATGTTATGTTATGTTACATTTTATGCTATGTTTTATGTTTTGTTATGTTATGCATTATAAATATTCAAAAATAATTCAGAAAAGGTAGTTCAGTACACCTGTGACTATGGGCACATTGCCACCTTAAAGCAGCTATGTTTTCTGTATACAAAAAATGGCTCCTTTAAGGAGTTTCATTAGACATAAGACTACTTTGATGAATTGCTTCATAAAAGTAGCTCTCTTCTCATTCGGGCTTATGCAGAAATCTGACAAAAGATACATCCTCTTTAAGCAGATGTTGTGCCCTTGTTCCTACACATTCCAAATAATTTTTGAAGCCTGACCAGTTTCAGTACATTTCAAAGAATGAGAATTTCTGAAATGGTGTTTCTGGAGGTATCTTAGTTAAACAAATAATTTGCAGTCTTCTCTTAGGCAATTTTTTTAAAAAAAAACTTAAATTTTATTATAATGATAAGATTGTTGGAAGGTATAGTTGTTTAAAGACATCATATAGAAAACTAAGCCACAAGAGGTGACTTTGAGTATCTTTTTTTGCAGGAAGGAGAGAAAATGCTCCATGAAAAGCATTATGCTTCTGGTGTCCTCCAGTCTAGACTCCAGGAAATAGATGAGCTTTGGGATGAGTTGCTGGAAAACTGTGAGGAAAAGAAAAGAAAAATTCTGGATGCTTACAAGGTAAACACAACAGGAGAGAACTTAAGGCTTTAGTGGTAACTTAGTCATTCTGGAAATTCCCCAAGATGGTTAACAAAATTTCAGTTAGCAAAAAGACTAAAATAAATGTATTATGTTTATGCTTGTGAGAGGCTATTGTAGAGATAGAACTGATCAATCCACAAATGATACTAGTAGCTACAGTGTTTAAATGTCATTATTTATATGGATTTTTTCCCCTCTGGCTTCAGGCTCTGCAATTTCTACATATTGTAGACGAGGCTGATAAATGGCTGGAAGAGCTAGAGAGCGATATGAAAATACCAGAAAGCAGTGATAATCTACTGATTCTGAACGATCTCCTAAAGAAACAGGAAGAACTGGAAACCAGCTTTGCCACCCACAGGGACCATTTCCAAAGTCTGATCAACAAAGTGCAAGAACTGCAGGAGGAGAAACATTTTCTGGCAGATGAGATAGAGATAAGAGTGGACCAGGTGGTACACAGGTGCTTGAACCGTTCTGCAATTTCTCCCTGCTCTGCTCTCCCTTCTAAATATTCTAATTCTCACCTTAAATAGTATTATCATTCTTCAGATTATTAGCCTGGTGTCTTTAATCTTAACAGTCAATGTATGCTAGTCCATAATTTTTCTTCCTTAAACAAAAACAATCAAACCCACAACTTCATTTTGAACCTCCAGATACAAAAGTTTTAGGGAGCCACTCCAGGAAAGGCAGCAGCATTTGGAAGCCAACAGATTGCTGTACCAGTTCCTCCAGGATGTCAATGAAGAGTTTACCTGGATTCACGAGAAACTCCCTTTGGCATCTTCCAGAGACTATGGTCAGTCACTAGCAACTGTTCAAAGCTTACAGGAAAAGCACCAGGTAAAACAGCTGGAGTGACTAAAACAGGAAATAATGGAGCAGAGAGAAATTCTTTCTCACTTCTTCCATTGCTTTTTAAATTTTATTTTTATTTACTTTAGCTAGATTACCACAAGGCCTACAAGTTCACTTTCAGAAAGTTGCATGTTTTTCACACTTCCACATCATAGTGAAGTGAATTAAGTGAACAATATCTTTTTCTAGAGCAGTTTTTCCCAAGTTCAGAAATTTTAAGGCGTGTTGCTGGGGTATTCTGGGAGTTGAAGTCCACATGTCTTAAAGTTGCTGAAATTGATAAAAACTTTTCTAGAGGAAGAGTAATCTTCTGCAACATGTTTTGCTATCAAGAAATATGTCTGCGCCTCTTATCTGAATACAAACAAATATTACATTCTCTGCATTGCATCTGTTATTATTTATTGAAAAAGGTTAAAGACAGTAACACAGAATAAAAATCACACTGGCCTCTTGGATCCATAATTTAAAACAATGACAATTTAATCTGTTTGTTTAATCAGTTTTAAGCCACCTCAGCCACCATTATGATGTACAGATTAACAGCAAAAATAGTGTAAGTAATAACAGCAACAAATATTACAAAACCTACATCAAAGCCATATTTCATTCACCCTGAAAGTATTACTGTTTGCTTGTAATTAGAGAAATAAGCTTGTTTGTATTCTAAAAAAGAAGCATATAATATTATTTGGGTGTTTTCTGTGATGGTGACAAGAAAAGTATCTAAATCTCCATCTAAAATCCCCAGATTTGCATTTTTAAAACATGTCCTTCTGTTTATTTATCAGGCACAACTTGTTCCTAACCTCTTTAAGTTGATAGCTAGAGAAACAAATTAGGGTGTGCTAACCTTCTTTACCATACCTTGCTGGTATAGGACAGTGCAGCTATTAAAAAAAGACACCATCAAAGTGGAGACAGTTATTACATTCATGTGAGTAGACACTTGCTTATGTTGGCAAGTTTCCTATAGATGCAAAACTCTACATGGATATTTAAAATTGTTAGCAAAATCTAAAAGAGGTGTGCTTGCAGCTTAACAACCTAAAAACATAGACATACTGATGAATATACGGAGAAAATTCTTACATTTTTAAAATACATGTATCTCTTATCTTATATTTTCCAGAATTTAGAGAATGAGATTAACAGCCATGATGCCTTGATTCAAGCAGTTATCAGTTCTGGGCAGAAGCTGATGAAGGAAAAACAGGTTGCTTCCCAAGCAGTCTTGGGACAAATAAAGGAACTGATAATTTCCTTTGAAAATCTGAAGAATGAAGCTCAGGAAAGAAGATGGAGGCTTGTAGAATCTCATAAAGCCCAGCATTTTTTCAGTGAGGTAAAGTAGTGATGGAAAGCCATGTTCAATTTCTACCATTTAGATCCATTCCAAGCATCACTTCTTTTCTAAACCAACTCAGCTGAACTGACCAAATTTCTTTATCCTGATGCAGTCCTTCTCTTCTAACCCATCCCCACTTCAACTATGTTATTCGAAGTGGTTCTTGCAATTCAGGAGCATCTTTCCATAGTTGTATGGGTAGCTATGTAGAAAAGCAAAATCAGGAAAGCCATTTGGTGTGACATGCCTCTGTTTGCTTGTCTCTGTGTTCAGATATGTGGAGAATCAAATATTTTCTATTAATTTAGTAAATACATTATTAGAGTCTAAATGGATATTACTGCCTAGCTTTTATTAAATGAAATGTTAAATGAAATGAAAAGAAAAGAAATATAATGTTTCCTCTTTTTGGAAAAATCTGACTCCTCAAAGGTCAAAGTATTGTACTGTTTTTTCCAGTTTTGTTCCTTTTCCTCCTCTGAAGCAGAATGCTTTCTTTCCTGCAATTACCATTCCTCTTCCTTGGAATTTTATAAGGAATCCTGTCAGCATTGAGTCAACATGTTCCATGTGTAAACCTTGCATCTTTTCCTGTGTTTATTCTACCTCTTTCTTCTTTCCTCCTCCAATTCTGTAATGGACTAAAAATAAAATAACTACACAATATCTTTGAACTGTCAATGCTAGGAACTATTAAACAAGAATCGTTAATCTAATATTCCTTGGGCTTTGTGGAAAGTTGTGTACAACTATTGTATAGTTTTTGCATTAAAAATGATGTGTTGAATACTTGACAAAATGGACTAATATATGTATATATGCTATACTGGCATGGATAGGAATAAAATTGATCCACATATTTAGTTGAGAGCATGCCTAGTTCGTTTTGTCTCTGTTGAATATAGTTCTGTTTCAGCAGATTACAACAATTTGTTTCATATGCAAGTCCCATCAGCCTTGCTTTTCTTTCAGCTTTTGGAAGTGGAATCCTGGATGTCAGAAAAAGGACTTCTGCTAGAAATTCCAGATTATGGGAGAAATGAAGTATCAACTCAAGCACTGTTGCGTAAAATGGAAGCTACAAAGCTTGATCTGGAGGGATTTAAATCCCGAATTGAGAAGCTGAAGGAAACAGGAGACTATTTCTTGAACAGTAATAACACAGAAAGGTAGGTGTCTATAAACCTTCTGGACAAGAATCAAGTAGTAAAACAGTTTCTGTTATTTTCAAGACTTCTTCAGGCATTATTTCATAAAGCCCCTTCTGCGTGCAAACATTTGTGCTATTTGAATTTTTGCTTTGCCAGAAGCATATGAGTTGTAAAACTTTAAGAACAATCCTGTAACTATTTGATTGAGTTGATAAATTTCAAATAAAGATCTGAAATCTTAGCAAGCTTTCTTAATGTCACAATAAGTCATAATGTCGCCCATCTTTAACAAACACTGGGAAGCTTGCAATCAAAAATCAAAACAACATAAAAACTATATTAAAGTTATAAAGCAAGCATATTAAAAACAAAAACCTGGTGCCAAGTCAAACATTCAATATGCAGTTACCTCATCTTATCCCGAAGCTTGGGAGAAAAACTGAGGTAGAGGTCTTTTTCTCCATGAATAAAATGCTATCAGGGTATTTAAAAAGTGGTCATCCTGCTCAGATTTAAGCATGGCTTGGATTACATCTGGAATTAATAAAGACTCTGAATATACTATACTAATTTTGCAAACAATGGTTTGCTCTCGAATCAAATAGTATTCATGCACAACTCGTATGTACATTAGTAACAGAACCATTAGTAACATGTAGAAAGATAGACAAATAGGTAATAAATATAAACTTTTAGTTTGTGTTAAACAAGAGCTGTATATGAAAATTGCTGGGAACAGGGATAGCTGTATAAATGAGTGATGCCTATTTTCTAAACTCTCTTTTCTGTGTCTATGTTGGTGTCTCTCTATCTCTCTGTATAGTTCAACTATCCTGCCCAAACTCCAGTCTGTTTTAGACCAATACCTGTCTCTCCAGGATAGGGCAGAGAGACAAATAAAAGCTTTGCAGGAACAATCACAACTGCATCAATTTGAGAGGGAAACTCAACTGGTGGATGCTTGGCTGTTGAGCAAACAGAATATGGCTGAATCAGATAACTATGGTCAGGATTTGGAGAATGTGGAGGTAAAGCAGATGTTGTCCTTGCAATACCTCAGCTGCACTATTTTATATTCTATAGTTCCTGATATTCCTTGATTATTAAAAGTTACATGAGATTGACTACAGATAGCAATCGTTCACATATGCTTATTATTAGTTGTTAAGCATACACTTTTTAAAAATGCTAAGTGACTTTCCAAGCCTTATTCACCACTTTTTAATATTATCTCAAGACATATCAAGAAATAGGAGGAAGATTTTGAATAACTCTGACTGCTACTTCTTTGTTGATGCTACAGGTTCTAGAGAAAAAATTTGAAGATTTTATGAAAGAGGTAGAAACTCTAGGCCATGCAAAAGTTCTACTGATAAACAATCTAGCATCTCATCTTAGAACTGTGTGTCACAATCAAATAAGCCACATCCAGAAAAAAACCCAGGATATCCATGACAGATGGGAAAGGTTGCAGCAAGCTATCCAAACAAGAGAAGAGGTGAGCTTCCTAGTATCCAAATGGGCTCCTTAGGACATGAATGAGCCATGTTTGGGTCATGCGTCACATACCACCCCAGTCGTTTATTGTAGTTTTTTTTTTTAAAAAATAGATCAGCAGAATGATTCTGAGCTTCCCTATTATATAGTTATATTAAGTAAAAAAAGTGTGTTGAATATATATATATGGCCCACTTTTGCATTATGGCAGTGTTGTCATGATTGAAAATTGTTGATTATACGTTTTGAGTTACTATATATAATCAAAAATTATGGACAAGCTGATCCACGAAATTGAACGCAGGATAACAAGGGGGAAAGTATGGTGTGATTTTATCGTTCGTCATCATATAATGCTATTACAAGTATCACTGATAATGCACACAGTATTTGATAGAAGCAAGACTTACCTCTGTGTGATCTTCTTGCGCCATTAGAATAATGTTTGTTGACTGGTAGTAACTGTGTAAAACAACCAGCATTTTCCTAAAAATGAAGCAGATGTATCTGAAACCGATCAGACATTTAGAACATGAACATACACACAAATGTATGATACTACAGCAATGTGAGTCAGTATCCCTTACTTGTATCTGCCTTACATTTTTAAACTGGTTTGTTAGGGACAAGTCTTACTGAAACATTTTTCTTTTCATCAGAATCTCAAAGCAGCTCATCAAGTTCATCAATATGATCGTGATGTGGATGACCTAAAAGGCTGGATACAGGAGAAAGAGGCTGTTGTGACCAGAGATGATTATGGTTATGACCTACTTGGAGTTCAGACCCTCCTTAGTCAACATGAAGGAGTAGAGGTAACTAGAAACAGTCACTTCAAAATAAACAGACTTTAAATATATAATCAAAAGATCTGACATTTCAGTCTGCAGAAATTCCAATGATGGGATTATTGTTCACTGCCTTAAAGAAATTAGCTGCTCTCTTAATATAAGCTTCTTAATAGCAATCTACTCAGAGTTAGCTTAACCATTTATTTTTTATTTATTGTATTTCATATTGCTGCTCTGAGAGATATTTGATTGTTTAAAGAAAACAATAAAATAGGTATAAGTATAAACATGAGTAAGAATACAGGAAATAGGTACAAATAAATGGGGACAATAGGACAGGCATGGTAGGCACGATGGTGCACTTATGCATGCCCCTAAAATAGAGTAACGGAAATAGCAAAAGAGTAACAATAATAAACATAACAAAAACAAAGTGTAAACAGAATATAAATGTATATTAACATCAAAATATCAAAGAGAGTTAGGATTGCTCTTTTTTGTCAAATCAATGAACTTTCTTCAAGTCCCTGAGTGGGCAGTTTGCTTTGCCCTGACAGATTACCTCTTTCATCTTTGGTGAAAGTGCTGTTATCCTAAAAAGTTTATTTTGGGATGAGTTAAGGAAATCAATTGACAGTTTTCCGGCTGGCAGGAAAAATATCTGTCATTTGCTTTCCTAATGTAAGTAGGGAAGTATTGACCAAGCTTGCAATGGGACTTTTACATTAGCCAGAAGCCCCTTCCTCTTTATTAGGTGATACATGGATGCCATCTTACATCAGTTCTTTCAATGTTCTCTCTCTGTTCTGACTTCCTCTTTTTCTCAGATCATTTCCTTCTTCATGTTGTTTGAGATTGTATTAATGGCAGATGATTCAGATCCATCTCACTCTACCTAGTAAAAAAGATATGAAGCCCTATGGGAAAGAAGCAAAAAACGGAGGAGGGGGGGGGGCTTGAATATTCCAAGCTAGTTAGTTTTCCTTTGTGTATTTCAGAGGGAACTAGCGGCCATTGCAAAAGAGTTGGAAAGAGTTAGAGGAGACGCCTGGCGCCTAGGCTGCCTCTACCCTCTGCCCAGGGAGAACATGATGAACAGACTTTCTGAGGTTGAAGACTGCTGGGAGAAACTAAACAAGAAGTGTGTGGAAAGAAAGCTGAAATTGCATCAGGCTGAAAAAGCCCAAGTCTACTTCAATGACTGCAGAGAGTTGACGTATGTATGAATTAGCCTGATTGAACTTCCTTTCATAATAGTAAAGGGGTGGGGATGGTGCAGATGAAATCTTGGTACAGCAAATTTAAAAAACTTTTGGATAAATGTATACTATACTCATATCTACCTACAATGCTTTTGAATATAATACAGTGGAAGCTGGATTTCACATTTTGAGTTATGCATGGATTATTTACTTGCCGTGTACCCAATGTATCTCATAATTAAATCTGATGTTTTAATTGGGATTTTTCCAGAGCCTGGGCAAGAAAGATGCATTCCCTGATTGTTTCAGAGGAGGTAGCAAATGATCTTCTGGGAACTGAATTGCTTATTAAGCGCCACAAGGAATACAAGCTTGACATAGACAAACAATGGTTGAAATATGAAGATTTGGGGCAAACTGGAAATAACCTGGTGAAGGAAGGACATTTTATGTGCATGGAAGTAAGCTACTGATTAAAGAAAGCAATAAACTGAAATGTCAATTATAGCATGTTTGGTTTCTACACTTAATTTACAAATATACCGACCTTTCCAGCTGGGTTCAGAAAGTAGCTGTGACCTAAGAGCAAGAAATAATTAGGAGCATGGCATCAAGATCCACGCTGAACCTAAATAAAACTAATGGAGTAGGTTACTAGTTACTGAGATATCAAAGCTCCTCTTAGAATGTGCTAAACTAGAATAAGCATTAATGTGTATGTTAATGGCTATCTATCCTCTTGGTAAAGAAAGTTTTCAAACCCTTTTACACTGAGCTTGCTTCTTGAGCAGATGCTAAACAGTTGTAAATCCTATGCATTTACATTTACTAAAAAGTTTGAAGTGGTCTCACTTTCTAGCTAAAGCTGGTATTCTCTCCTTTTCTTATAGGGCTTGTCAGGAGAGAGACTATCCTTTCAAATAGGCTGCAGAATATTTGAGACTTGATTCTGCAACATTTTTATAGTACAATCTGGAAAATAAAAACATTTGAAAACGTTTAAAAGTTTTTAAACTGGGGACCTCATGACTTCCCTTGAAAACTGATAAACTGTATGCCCCATCACCAAAAGTCAACAAAAATAGGCTTCCCTTATGCCAAACGTTCATTAACTATATGCCCATGCTTCCTGTATCCTTTTTAACCTGAAATATGAATGAGTTCTTTATGCAAATACAGCCCTGCCTGCCTGCCAAGATTTCCAGTTCATTTAAATTGAAAAATTATGGAAACAGTTCAACAAACTAGGATATTAAGCAGTTGTTTTAATTGGGTTTAGAGTACAATTCCAACAATATCACCTGGAAACTCTGCAAATTGCAATTCCAACACATCAAAAGGATGTCAGGTTGGGAAATGCTCAGGTGTTTAATTTAATTTGTTTCACTTCTTTAAAAATTACTCTGAATCTTGTCTCTAAGCTGACTTTAACAAACATTACCTAATTATTGCACTTCCATTTGTGGTATGGCTATACAAATGATTTAGAAGATCCCAGTTTTCCTTTTCAACTGCAAGAGTCACTTTTCTTACCCTGGCATAAGGCATCTAGATAAAGTTTCAAAATAAATCGATCTTGTGATCTAAAAAAAAGCACAAACAGCGTAGGGAGAGAATAAGATGGTAACTTGATATGAGACAACCCAGTCAGGCTCAAGGTTACCAGATCTAAACACAACATGTGATCCTTCAGATTGTATGAAGAAAGAAGGAAGAAAAGAACAGGATTTGCTTGAAATGTTCCCTATGGTCATAATATCTTAATGACTTCATGTTGACTTTTATAACGCTACTCAGCTTGCCTTATGAATTGTAAAAAGAGCTGAAAATGAAGTGAGGGGGGTAAAAATTGTTAATGTGCTCATATTACTAAATATGAATTTTGCTGGGCATTTTTGGGAAACTATTTTATTTGTATTTTTCAGGATAAAAAATTAAAAGTTATTGTAATCTCCAAAAACAAATTGGTCAAGTCCTCAAAATATTCAGCTTGCTACAGTATCTCCACTCTGCAGGACTTCCAGACAAAGATTATATTGTACAATTGATCTGCCTCATTTCTGGCATTTAAAGCCAAACTTTATGTTCACTCTTCTCTTTGTCCATCTTCTTCTTTCTTTCTGCCATGGCAGAAAAAGTAAACCTCAGCTGCCTTTTGCACCAGCGGAAGCTTCCAGATATTCTTCAAGAGCAGTTCCATGTAGGCCATGTTATAGTAATCCACTCTAGAGGTAAACAGGACATGTAGTTCAGGAAAATGGGCAACTGGTGTACAACTCAAAGTTATGCAAAGGTCCTCCTATCCATCATGACTGCCACCTGCTCCTCAGGCAGGGACCATCAGTTTAGAAGGACTCCCAGACTGCACACAGAGTTTGTCTGGGCTAGATCATGAAGAAGTGATCTAGAAGGCCCCAAAACGAGAGCCACTTAGTCTTGTTAGGATTCAGCTGAAACCTGTTGTTCCCCTATCCATATATTACTATATCCATTTGTTGTTATTCTCTCGGTTACTTAAAAGATGTTATTAAAGATTATGGCTAGCTATATTCTTTGTTGCTTATTGGTTGTTGGCATTTAGTGGATATTGTACATCACTTTGAAATTCTTTTGAGTATTGAGTCTTGTTTCAGGGGGAAAAAGACCATTTTACTTCTGTACATAATTTAGGACTGAATTCCCCAAAACAAAATAGCTCAAGAGATTTCCTGGAAAGATGTCATAAACTCAGTTTACGTTTATGAAAAATGAAATGATTGGGGTTTTTTGTATTTTTGTTTCCCTTCTTCAATTTCCATATGGGAATTTGTTTCTCTAGATCGAAGAGAAACTCTCTGAATTATTGGAGCTAATGCAAAAAGTGAGAGAAATCTGGGATCTGAAGAAGGATTTGTATGAGGAAAACTGGGAGATTCAGCTGTTAAAAAGGGAGCTGGACTTTGCTGAAACCTGGTTGACAGCTAAGGAGAGTTTTCTTTCAGATTCAAATTATGGGGTAAGTAAGCAACAGTATAGTGCAAAATGCCAAACTCAAACCTATCCAAAAACAACTGCATCACTTCTGAAACATTTTAATTATGTACTTTTAATTTTTTAGCTTTTCCCCAGAACCCTGGGAAATTTCTTTTGAATTTCTCTAATTGCATGAAATAAGGAAGGATATTAAACATCTTTCTATCACTCTATTTTTCCCAGCTGCCAAAGGGTAGAGAAGTTTGTGTCTGGTTTATAGCCTGCTTTTCCTTCAGGAACTCAAGTAAACTCCCATCATTTTGCCCTCAACCACTCTGTAAGATTAGTGCTGAGGCAGAATGAACAACTCAAATTCAGCCAATGAGTCTTCTAAAAACAAACCCAGGAGATGCAAACTTATGGCTTAATTGTATAATACTGAAAGAATTCCATCCCCAGCCATGGTGACAGCAAAGCTGACTTGCTAGGCATGCAGCAATGTTGCCATCAGGAGAGAGGAAAAAAACTCCCACTTATATCAATACTGGCCGGGTGGGAATTTCTAGTGAAATTGCTGCAGTCACTGCATGCTGCTAAGCCAACAACCTGCCTTTCCCTTGAACAAAATTCCTTCAAAATTGAATGCTCTTGTCATATAAAGCACGTAGAGACACAAATCTTGTTGCCTTCCAACATTCATATTCTAAATATAACCTCGGTAATGAAGAAATTGAAAGAAGAGTCATCTGTGCTTCATTAGCAGGAAAGCTTCATAGCCATTCCTCACAGCCAACTTGGATGTTTCTCTTTCCCTATTCTGCTCTTTCCTCTCCTCCCCACCCCAATGGCATTTCTGTACTAAAATAATTGCATTTGTTGACTTCACTCCCTAGAATTCTGTCTCCGATGTTAAACATCTGTTGAAGAAGCATCAAGACTTTGAAAAAATGCTAGAAGCCCAAGAAGAGAAATTTGCACAGTTGAAGAGAAAGACAAAGGTACTATGTTAAACCCAAGGAAGACATGTGTGGGACCGGCCTTACATAAATACCTTTCATCATCTTTCCCAAACCCCATGTGGTTTTATACTTAAGCTTAATAATAAGGTGGCAATTCACTCAAACCTGTTTTTTTATATTATGCTTGGCCTTCTTATGGTTATGTATGGATTACTAAGTGCAACAATAGCCCAATGCAGTGGTGGGATTCAAAATTTTTTACTACCGATTCTGTGGGCGTGGCTTGGTGGGCGTGGCAATGCTTGGTGGGTGTGGCTTGGTAGGCATGGCTTGGTAGACATAGCAGGAGAAGGATATTGTAAAATCTCCATTCCCACCCCACTCCAGGGGAAGGTTGCAAAATCCCCATTCCCTCCCCAGCCCACTAACCTGCTTTCCAGCTCCGTTCTCCTGTGCAGGGCAACCAAAGGAGACCCAGCCGATCAGCTGGGACTCGGGAGGCAGAGAATAGTTTGGGGTGGAGATATCAGAGGTGGTATTTGCCGGTTCTTCAAACTACTCAAAATTTCTGCTACCAGATCTCCAGCACTGGTCAGAACCTGCTGAATACTACCTCTGGCCCAATGGTTTTTTTTAAAAAAAGAAAAGGACAGCCTTCTAACCACAGAGATTTAAAATACAGGAATGATGGAGGAGAATCTTTGTTGTTTTTTTTCCTCAGTTGTCTTGCACTCTGCTCTTCCTGTATAGAGCGGTGTGAAAATTACAGAACATTACATCATCCACACTTTTCATTTCCAGTCGATATCTATAAGGAGATGTCTGTGTAAATAGACCGTCAGGTTCTGCAGACTTTTCTTTACAGATTATGGCTATCATGTGGCTGTCAGAGCCAGAGCCAGAACTGCTGTTTAATGGATGTATGAAGAGATCTATTGTTCTATAGATGTGATCTTGCTGGGGGCAGGAAAAAAAACAGTTTAAGACAATGGCATCTAAGGAATGGATTGACCTCATCCTGCCCTGGTTTTTTCTTCCCTTAAATCCCAGCTTTCAACATTCTTACTGATTTTTGCTCCTTCTATGAAATAGCTACCATGGAAGGTCACCTACAAAAGCACCAAATATTTTTGCCAATTTTCCAAAAGTTTTCTTCCTCTGGGAAAAGATAAATGCTTTTTTACATCATTCTGAAAATGCTTTAAATTTCTTTGGGTTTGTTTTAAACTGCGTTATTTTTGTAAAGTAGTGGAGTACTCCCATGTGGTGAAACTTACTCTCTCTGTAACCTCTATGACATCTACTTCTCAGTATTTGGCCAGCATTGTGTGATCTGTTAGGAATGAGTATTTAACAAAAGAAGCAAATAAGACTGTTTTTCTGCCTACATTGTTATATATAATTGAAATCAGGAAAAATATAAAAATAAGTTGAATGCAAATGATTACTTAAGAGATGCGAGTAGGAAAATAAGAGATAAGGTCAAGAATCAATGGATAAAAAGGAAGTATAGATTAAATATAAGACAGAGTGATGAGCATCAAATAACATTGCTAATACAAAAAAAAATGAATGAAGATCAAATTGCAAAGTAAATATTTGAGGAAAGAGCAAGAAGGAGGAGATTGAGAATGTCATGTCTGGAAAGAATTAATGAGATTTTCAGTTAGAGACAAATGAGTAAATTAAAAATAAAAGACAACACGTGATTCGTTACCTGGTTGTAGTGGAAGTAAGGATGGTTTGCAAGGACCCAAAGGTATTAAAGAGGGTTGATATAAACAGTTGGTTTCCTTTTCTCTTATTTCACATATTTAATTTCTTTTATCCACTGTTCTTCACTCTTTGTTTCATTTTGCATGTCACTCTGAAAGTGTCAGTGAAAATTGCCAGTGACTATTGGTGTACATTACAGCCAAAATATGGCAATAGAGACAAAATAGTGGTGTATAGTAGTAGTAGTGAGACTCAATAGTAAATCAGTGGAGCTGTTACCCAGTTGTATGTTTTCTTTCACAACTGGAGGGAGGACAGGCATGAAAATTCAACATTCAGGCTCTATTGTAGTTTCCTAGTGGTATAGAAACTATGTGAGGCAAATTTACATACAGGGGTGAAATCTTCCACACTCATATGCATATGTGTTCAAGGAATGAATAATTCCATGTGCAGAAGCCTAAATATCATTTGATTAAGTAGCCAGAAACTTGCAAATTTTGTGTGCTAATGATAGATTTTCAATAGAAAGCAGAAACACTCTTTTGTGTGTCCTCTCACTCATTCCAAGTGATTTTTTTTCAGAGAGAACTGAAGCTACTGAAACAAATGACTATAGAAGAAAATGAGCAAATGACCACATTGATCAAAGTCCCCTCACTAAGAAGGCGACATTCAGATAGAAGAAGCATAATGCTTGAGCCAAAGAAAACTCAGCAATTACCACTTTTATCCTCAATTCCCAACTTAAGAGATCCCTTCAATGTCTCTCCTACCCAAAACTCTAAAGAGAGTTTGCACCAAATCAGTTCTGAAGAAGACTTGATGTTGATCAATGATTCTCCCGAACCAAGAGTGCTTGGCTTAGAAAATTCCATGCCAGAAACTGAGAATTCTTTATGTCTTTCATTGACCTCAGACTTGAATATCCAGCAATCTGATGTTGGATTTTTGGAGTCACACAGTAGTGATTTTAATCCATCAGATGTGATAAACAGTGGTGAAATTTCTACCTCTGAGTTAGAAACTAGTGAAATGAAAACTCAGGATGGTGAAGGATCCCCTGATGATTGCCAAAGTTTTCTGCACTCAGATTTATCACCAGAAGGATCAGAAACTGCTTCCCAAGTAAGTTATTCCCTTTTGTGTTACCCTTTTGTTGACTGAACAATGATATCATTACTTATTTTTATATAAAATAAGGCTGTTTCATAAGAAACATTCCAAAATTCATAATAAGGTGGTGTCTTTCTTCAGAACAGCTAAAAGCATTGCCAATTGTGAGCAACATTTTCCAGTCTCATTTTTCTTTCATTTTTATGGGTCAATGTCCTCCAGGATTATAGCAATGAAATTCAGCTGCAATCTATTAATGAAGCAGAATTTCCTGCCAATTCTTAACAAAAAAACCCTTTTAAAAAACCAGGTAGATTTGTACCTATTTCCATCCACCCTGAAATTGAAGGGGAAAAAACCCAAGGCAAAAATTCTGATCTTAACGCCTCAGTTGTGTAATTTGGTAAGTATCATGTATAGCCTTCAGCCATCAAAAATGGGTTGAAGGACAATGAAAATGTTAGTCAGTGCCATAAAAATGTTGCTTCATATTAAGAGAAGAGAAAGAAACTCAAGCTGAAATAACCTACTTAACTTTCTACAAGGTAATCGTTCTAGAATTCCTTGTAGGTATTTTTAGAACTGCAAGTTTTAGATTCATCTAGGACTGCACAGATAATAGTTGATCTCTCAATATTCAAAACACAGTATTTACTTGTATTTGATTCAAATCTTAGACAAAATAGTTTACTTTTATTCTTTGACTTTTTAAGGAAATAGAATCGTGGGCTATTACCAGTCATAGGTTCCCATCCACTCACAAAAATATATTGTTTCTGTGCCCTTTTGTGCTTGGTACCATTTTTCTGTGGCTGCATGAGATTTTGTCACATATGGAAAACTTTCTTGGCATCACTGATTAATGCTGCATAAGTAGTTTCATTGGATCTGATGATTGGCTTAAGGTAGTCTGTGGACCTGTTATCAATACATCTGATTTGCCCTACTATCCATCTCCCAGTTTAATGATAAAACATCAGGTCTGAATAAAAAGTCACGCAAAGAAGAAGGCAACCATGATAGGAGATCAAATGCATTCAATTTACTGTATTTTACTTTGTGGTGGTCATGGGAAACTGAATGGGTCAAAGAAAACTAATAATCTGGGATGTCCTATTTGCAGAGTGTCTAGTTGTCTGAAATTGCTCATAGTAATTTTATATGTGCTGAATTTTAAAGAAAACTGCTACTCCAAGAATAAATTATACATTTTCCAAACTGCATATAAAACACAATAATCCTCAAAGATCCACCAGAAGCATTCTAAAATCTTTATTCTTAAGCAACATTGTTTATTAGGATCAATCATATTTGTACAAAATTGTGCACAAAGACATGTATATAGTATCCAGGTGCAACTTCTCAAAACAAAGCCATGTTTTTCTTGCGAAGATATGTAGCTCCTTTAAGGAACTATAGATATTGTTGGGGGTCTGAAGGTTTTTTCCATTCAAATTTCCATTCATATTTATAAGCTCACACACACATGCACAGAGAGACAAAGACATGTACACATGCACCAGAGAGACAAAGACATGCAACTCAAAAGATTAGGATGAATGAGACCAAAATCAACTTGTCATTACAGTGTATGATAGAAAAAGACAACAACTGTCATTTACTTTTCATAACAGAAAGCACACTTCCTCTTTAAACATTCAGTTCTTAATGCTACAAATCTGCCATTTCTCTTTCTTCTGATTTATGGCATCTTCTAACATCACCCAACCAATAAGGCAAAATATAGCCTCTCACCCTTAATCTGACTTTATCAGAAGGATGGTTAGATTAGCTGGATGATCCAATGAAACTTTATAAATCATTAGTGAGAGTAGTAGCCCAGTCAAAGGCCTCTAGTATGTCAGGTTGCTTCAGTAATTCAGTCTTCATTATTCAAATATATAAAGATTAATAGTTCCAAGACTGGACACTTAATTAACTATTGATTTTGTATTCCCTAAATAAAATCCTTACTTAGTTCCATCTCCTCCCACTCTATCTCCCAAGTCCCAACTATAGATTGTGTGCATGGCATTTTTTCTGTCATATTATTGTATAAATTTATGAATGATTTATTGCATTCAAGCTTTCATCATAACAAATTAAATTACTTGCAAGCTTCTTGTGCATTTCAGATTTCTGCCAATCGATATATTATGGCAGGTTTTCTAGAAAAAAGAGACCAGGTCCTTTCAAGAAGGAAAGAGGTAAATATAAGTAGAACACCTGCATGATGTGGATGAAATGTTAAGATGGGGCATCTGTGCCCTTAATATGGCTAACTAATTGATATGTTGTACAGATAAATGTATGGCTCCATTTATTCAATGGATAGAAGATGCAATGGCACTTGCCACTTAAGAGCAGATACCTGCTTATGCTTATAAGCCTTTGACTTTGTAGACTTTGTACAGACATGTCTAATGAAACATAGGGTTCATTTATACAAAATATAGTAGGTTAAAAAAAGATGGTTGTATAAATGTATTTGAAATCTACATATATTTAAATAATATTTGCATTAGATGAGTAAATAGAATTATAAATGTTTCATGTTATAATAAAATATGTATTAGAAATATATACATGCTTGGATAATATTTGCATTATACAAGTATATATAGAATTGTAAATGTTTGTTATAATGAAATAAGTTAGATATTAGAAACATATACATGTTTGGATAATATTGCATTAGGCAGGTATACATAGAATTGTAAATGCTTGTTCTTATAATGAAATATGTTAAATATTAGGAATATATACATGTTTGAATAACATTAGATATATGTATATAGAATTGTAATGTTTATTTATAGACAAATAATGTTTATTATAATGAAATATATCTTTTTTTTTTCTTTTTATGTTTATTTTCCTTTTTTGTGAAAGCGCTTTTATATGTTCTTTTTTCTTTCTCTCTTTGATTATGTATCTACAGTACCTCCATCATTCTGATCTTCAGGTCTTGTCCTTTTTTACTCTTTAGATTATTAATTAAAAGCCAATGAAATATGATAAAAGAAAAAAGTTAAGGTGGGATACGATTAGCCTGAGATTATATTAAACTAACTGGATTTTCCTTTTTTATAAGAATTTATCTGAAAAAAAACTAAATGAAGGAGAATTCCAGGTATAATTCAAGGACTGATGTTTTTCTTGCCATGCACCTCCTTTCAGAAATTTTCTCTCTCCTTTTTTCCCCTTCATTCTAGCCTATCCTGTTTCCTCCCCTTTTGGTATCCCTACCACAATACATGTGCAAAGTCAGCTGCAATGCCAAAATGATACTTCAGTTAACTTAGTTTTGTTGAATTACTTGAGCCGTGGTATCACAGTGGTTAGACGGCGGTATTGCAGGGCTAACTTTGACCACTGCCAGGAGTTTGATCCTGACTGAGCTCAAGGTTGATTCAGTCTTCCATCCTTCCGAGGTTGGTAAAATGAGGACCCAGATTATTGGGGGCAATATGCTGACTCTATGAACCACTTAGAGAGAGCCGTAAAGCACTGTGGGGTGGTATAAAAGTCTAACTGCTTTTGCTCTTGCTATTTTGCACATTTATTTAATATATCAGTAAAAGGAAGAATTGAAATTTACAGATCACCTTGGCTCATATTAGTATTTGTCAATATATAAAAACTAAATTCTTACAAAGATCATTAGCTTACAAAATTTAACCCTGTTTTCCTACCACCAAAAGGTTTGTTTAACAAGAGAAAGAACTACTAAATCTCCCTTGGCTCAAAACTCTACATGGGATTCCTCAAAGCTAGTTTTACCCCTGTGGAGTCCCAGACAGTCCTGCCTACTTTTTTCCTGAATTTCTGCTTTCTTCTTATTAAGGGGATCAGGGAAACAAGACAGCCAGTTTGATTTTAAGGTACAGCTGGAAACTGGGAGGCTGTGAATTCTGGATTTGCCTTGGGTATGAAGCCATATGGGTGCCTTTGAGCCAGTCGCTGTCTCTTAGCCATAGGAAGAAGGCAATGGCAAACCGCTTATGAAAAACCTTGCAAGGAAAAACTGCAGGATTTGTCCAGATAATTATCAGGAGTCAGTGCTAACTTGAGGATATACCAAAAAAAAAAAAAAAGTATGGCTCAAGAATTTTGTCAATAGTAGTAAAAAAAAAACAGCATTGTGGAGCAGGGTCATTGTAATCAGGGCAATTATAAAGCTTTACCCCTCACCAAGGATAGTCTAAAGATTGTGTATATGTGGGCCCATATGCACAGAAGGAGAAAGAGGCAGGCTCTAATTACAGCAGCAGATTGACTATGGCCTCAGGACAGAAAGAGTTACTTCACCCTACATTGGATTAATGTCAGTTATTTCAGAGTGAAAGCAAGCTACTAATGGATGAATAATTTTAAATAATGATCAGATTGACACGTGCAACAGTTTGGAAATAGTTTATTTTATGTTATATTATTTCAGTCAAAGACAAGGGCTTGGAACACTTTCTATGTTCAACTTCGAAGACATAAACTTGACTTCTATAATGATGAGAAGGAAGTAATTCAGGTACTTTATTTTATAATCATTTAAATCTTAAAAATCTATTGCAGTCTCACTGAAAATCCTCCTCCACCCTTTTTTTTAGCTAGTTAAGACATGCAGTTTGATAAATGACTATATTTTCTAACACCATCTACTGAAATTCTTAACAAAAGTCAAAACAGCTGACCTGTATCATCACATCAAAATGCTTGATTAAAATAGTCCTGGATCAAATTTAAAATACATGTGTTGGTTGATTGTTATCATTATCCTTGGCAATTTTTATGAAACAATGCAGCAAACTATAATATGGTCATATTTTCTAGAACAATGATTTTGAAATCATTTTGAGAAAAATATTTAGGCTACAAAGTTTGCATGACACATTTCAGGCAGCACTGTTATTTCTTTTCAAGTATTAGCAAAATGGCTAAAACTCACTTCACCTAGTAACAAGATCCCCTGCAATGAATGAACATTCTCTTGCCAATGTGCATCACAAATGTGGATAGTTCATAATGGACAGGCCATGTCTCCAAAATGTCTATTTCCCCCCACACACATTTTTATTTGAGAAGCATCAATGGAATTTTACAGTTTGAAAATCACTGCTCTAAAGGAAATGGGATCAAAAGGATGGGGGTAGAAAGTCTCTGCTTATTATATCTTGTCTTTCTCCTTGTTTAGAAAATACCTCCAGGCTTATCACTGAGCATAGCTGGAGCCAGGTGTGAGAGGCTAATGAACTATTCCAGGAAAAAAAATGCTTTCAGCTTGAGGTAAAAAACATAACTGTTAATTAGAATAAAATGCAGTGCTCTCATCTGAGTAAGCTAAATACTGTTAAGCTTAGAATGATTTTGTAGAATTGGATGCTGCCATTTGCACCGTAAGAATCAAAGTGCAAATAAAAGTACCAACAGAATGGTCAGAGGAGTAAAAGAAATGTCATTCAAAAGCAAAAGGACTTCCTCAGTTTGCAAAGGTTGAGCTACCATCATTAATGATTCCTGAAGCATAATTCCTCTCTCAGTTCTGTCCACTAAACTAGAACTCACTAGACCATGATTGCATTTAACAAAATTGAGAGTTTGGGGTCTGAATTAAGTTATCAGTTTTATTTAGAAATTACAGGACAGAATTTATCTGAAATCAATGCATGAAAAAATTTCTTGGGCTTTGCTGAAATACAAAAACTACCACTTGTATTTGTTTTCTGGTCTGCTAACGCTAATAACATTTCTTATATGAAAAAGAATGGGGCTTTTGGTGGGCTTGTTTCTGTAGGTATTTTATTGTGAAGAGATATCAATGAATATATTGAATAAATCAATTAATTCCATCTTCAATACATGGTTTACAGAACAAGTGATGGGGCAGAGTACTACCTTGCAGCATCGTGTCAGAAGTTAATGGAGGATTGGATTCATGCATTACGGAGTAACTTAGGTAAACTGATGTGGTGTAAGGAGTCAGGAGTATCTCAGCTTGCCCAGGGAACCCTTACAAAAGAAGAACAGAGACAGAATATTGGGCAAAAGAGGACAAATAATGCTAAATGTTCAGATTCTTCATCACCATAATTTTGTTTTATTCCTTTGATTTCTTATATGGATTCCTGAAGATCATAATAGCAATCAGAAGGACGTTTCAATCAATGAAAATGTGGTGAAACCTCAGATAAAACCTTGGATTTCTACAGCTAGAACTTCTCATAAACAGACTAGCAAAGGTTTCCTTCTGAGGTAGGCATTGGTTTCTGTTCACCTGAAATGGATCGATTCATATTCGATTCAATATATTTAAGTTTGTATCTTTCAAAAAAAATCCAGATAAATTATTGCTTGTTTTTTCAATGTGCTCAACAACATTAGAATATCAAGCATCATAGAGAGTCTCAAACCAAAGTTTGAGAACAGATTTTGTGTTTACAGCACTTAAAAGAATAGCAATTCTTCTATCTAGTTCTGCTTTGTTTTTTTTTTGTTTTTTTATGAACAAGTTTTATTGATTTTTGAAGACAAACAAAACATAACACATAGAAGTATAAAACCTCCTTTCTAAGAATTACTTATAAATTTCAACAAGGCAAATAAAGCATTATTTTTTAAAACATAGTTCCACATTATCACACTTCCATTTACACATATATATCTTTTCCAAATTTCTCATTATTTCTCCCTTCACTTTCATTCAATCATATTTCCTTCTATCAAAGTTTCAGTAATTCTCAATCAGTCATAAGCACACAAAATACATAACCTAAAGCAAAACATTGGAGAAAAAAAAAAAACCTCCTTAGTTATCATTTATACATATCTTTTCCCAATTTCTCTCCCTTTAATTTCATTTCTCCAAGATTTTATTAATTTAGAATCAAACATAAATAATCCACACACTAAACATAAAACATAAAACTTCTTTTGAGAAGTGACTTGGCCCCAGGTTACATCTTTTTTGACAGACCTAAATCAAATTCATGCCCACCTTATATACCCTTCATATCTTATTAACCATTTTATATTCTCTATATAACTTCTCCCATCTTTTCACTCTCTTAATTATATTTTATTTATTTCATCTTATTTCAAAGTCATTATACTTATATCTTTTGTCCGTTCTTTACCAAACATCTATGTATCTCTTCCCTTTAACAAAAAAATTCCCCTGTAATCGCTTTTGAAGTATGACGCCTTCTCCTAAAATAAAGCTTAAAATAATACATAATTTCCATCCTGATTCTGCTTAGTACATTCTACATATTAAATCTTAAAATAAAAGAATAGTAAACTTATAGTATAATTAAATATATAAATTCTATTCTAATTCTAATTCTGATAAATACATTGTTTTAGGATAGAAGAAATAAAATACTAAAGTTAAAATAACATTAAAACAAACAAATTAAACTTTAACTAAGCATTAATCATTTAACACAGTCTCCTAATATTCAATCAAATATCAACATCCATCATTATTAAACATTAATATTTCATTAAATATTCCAATAAACTGTTTCAAATGCAAATACTACGATACTATCTTATGCACTCTTGCAGAATCTTCTTTAATTATAAACTATCTATCATCCTTCATCTCTGAAAAAAAAA